AGCATAAACTACGTCACCATCGACAAAGATTTGGAAAAATTACCACCACAGCTGTATTAAATAAAGATGAAAGTTTGTTATGATCAGGGTTACAATAACATTGGAGTTGCTATAGAAACGAAATGACGCAATTAGCAATTTTACTTGCAGCCGTATTTCCGGGCACTGGGAACTGTTCTTCGAAAATCGTTTACGAGAGCTTTTCCCTCGAGTAGCCGCCTCGATTTTCGTGAAGTTTGAGCGAAATCTGTGAGAGCGTTATCGAGATATTTCGGGATGAATTTTTTATGGTGAGAAATTCGTTAAAAACTGGACAATCTTGATGTTCGGCCGTTATCTGTAGAAAACCTCATAGTAGTTTGAACCTTAAAAACGTGTGTGAAAAATCATGAAGATAGCTCTAGCCTATTGCTACAAAGAAGGATTTGATTACTATTGTCTCCAAGTTTCGTGTTTATAAGGGAGAGCCTCTCATTATTCAGGGGTATTGTCTCCAAGTTTCATATTTTCGAGGACAACAGTAGGCAACATTTCTGCATAATCTTTTTGCAATGTAAGTTACTGCTGTTTGCGTGAACATGAAACTTGGAGACAATACTAATCAAATCCAGTTCTTTCTAGATCTCGGCTATCTCCAGAGGTGAAATTGCATTTCAAAACCCTTTCGTTTTCTACAGATAACGGTCGAACATCAAGGTAGCCGTTTCAAATTTTTCTACGAAAACATCAAGATAGTCCAGTTTTTACCGTATTTTTGACCATAAAAACTTCATCTCAAAATATCTCGATAACGCTCTCACAGATTCGCTTAAATTTCACGAACATCGAGGCGGCTATTGAAGCAAAAAGCTCTCTTAATCGATTTTGGAAGAACAGTTTCCAGTGCCGAGAAATACAGTTGCAAATAAACCAGGTAATGGCGTCATCTCGTTGCTATGACAACTCCAATGTCATTGTAACCCTGATCTTAGCAAATCTTCATCTTTATCTAATACAGCTGTGGTGGTAATTTATCCAAATCTCTGTTAATGGCGACGTAGTTTATGCTCAAACTTGGGAGGTATTGACCCTGAAAAACCATATCGAGCCACCTTTTAAGGTGGCTCGATATGGTTTTAAAAGTGAGGTCAGCGGACTTAAGTTAAATCCTTTTACATTGGTAGCCTACAGAAACAATGTTTTTTTTTCTCCCATACAAATCCTTACATTTTAAACGTTACGCAACATTGACGATAGACGTATTTCGAACTATGCGCACCTGTGGTTGTTGTCGTTTGTTTGTTTGTTTGTTTTTTCTCACTTTTTTCCGTTTTACGGAAACTAGTCACATTTCCAAACCCCCCTAGAAGCTTGCGTTTAGGAAATCGGTCAATATTTATCCTAGATCCGCGCCTGGTAAGAATCAGTTCCTTTTGAGAGGGTTGAAGATTTCTACTGATTCAGGCCAGGATCCGGCACTCAGCACTGTTTTGTCGCTCTGATTTTGCTTTTGTTATTATGGCGTTTATTGCAATTTTGAGCCTGTACAAGTCAGATCAGATGGGGTCATTGAATTGGGTATAACTTTCCTGCGCCGGAAAAAGGTTTTGTGTTTTCTGTAAATGTTAAATTAAATGTGCGAAAATATAACGGAATTTCGTGGTGATGTGGCAAAACTTACCGAAACAAAGACCTCATTCCTCTTCTCCCCTCCCCCTCCCCCTTCAACCTTTTTTTTTGTTTCCTCTCTAACTTTCGCGCAATAACTCGATTGGAAACGCTTGCTACGCAGGCTAACTTCCGCTCTGAGATGGGGTATACTGAGATGGGCAGCAAATTTGAGTTCAATTTGGTCTGAGACGGGGCTCCCTTAATATTTTCCAAGTAAACCTCCCTGCATGGACTACCTTTTGAAAGTCTCCCCTCGCAACGGGCAACGGATCTCTAGTTTATTGCCGCAATACTGGCAACCAATCAGAACGCGCATGCGAATTCTTAATTACGTAAGGACTTATAAAGGAGAAGGATTAAGCCATTGTTGTAAGCCTTCTATGACTTTTATGGGTTAATTGATTTTTTTGTCTTTGTGTTTAGTAACTGTAATTACTTTAACGCGTTAACTTTAAAACTACGTGCCCAAACGAGACAGCAGATAGAGCCTCTTAAAACTCTTTGGTGAACAAGTAGGGCATAAGCACGCAGAGATCTTTGATTGGCATTTTCATCCTTGCTCTTGTTTTGTACTGACAAACTCGATACATGCCAACAATCTGAACAATGGAATTAAAAATCAAAATTATGCAAATCATGGAGTAATAAATGTCACGCTAGCTATATTTTTTTACTTAATATTAGCAAGACAGTACAAAAGTTTTCCAAATGTTTTCTTATACCAGGTTTTTGTTGTTTTGATTTTTTATCATTAGGTGATCATGTTTTAAAACGAGTTTTAGACATTTCGAAACGTGATATGTTTTGGGTCATTGGCCATAGACCCTAAATATTTCATAAAATATTCATTCACCCCCAGTTTGGCATCTTGAATTCACACTTTATCTGAAACAATCGACGAGTTACTTCATTGCTAAGGAGTTCCCAGTGAGCCACTGTTTACCAACGGATATTGGAGTTCTAGGTTACCTATTGGATTTATCAAGTTGGTATGAAGAGAAATGGTTTTGTTTTTATTGGTTGATAAATGCATCTTCTTCGGTCGAGGATGGCGTGAGTGATTATAGTCATGCCTTTCGCACTGACCGGGACTTCCGAATCCGTGAAGGATAAAAGAAGCTACAAAGAAATGAGAGAGCTGCTGCTATTGCATAGACGTTATGAGGAAAAAGCTGTACGTCTATTTAGAAAGGGATTGTCCGGTTCAAACAAAACTGACGAGATACGAGACACGAAAAGACTGTCTAGCACAAACACCGCAACAGATCTGAATGAACCAACAAAAGCGCGTGGAAATCATAAGAAAAACTCAACGACACCTAAAAACCCACCGAAGTCATTTCACCTGAATGATAAAGACTATCTGAAGCAGCTTCTTCTCAATAGTGGGGGAAACGTTAATTTTTCTGACCGTTCAGTGGCACAGAGGCACTGGGATGTCACCAGCACTCGCGCACAACTACGACTGCCAAAATTAGACAGCATACCGCCAGAAAATAAAGAAATATTTTACACAGCGCTTCCCAAAATGCCTCCGCTGCCGAAGCTTAAGGACAGAAAATCAGAGCCCTTAAAACGGGACAAAAAGAAGAAGCGAAACAGGCATAATTCTAGCCAAGAGAGAAACACGTTTTCTTCGCAGACTTGTTTAAGTGTTAGGCAGTTGCCTAGAGACCATTTCATGCTTCACGACTTTGGAAATGGAGGGAGCTCTTCTTCGAAGACATCAACGTTACCGGCCTTACCTCGTATTTCATTGTCACGAGAAATGGACCCAACGTCTGAGGCAATAACTCATGAAGAAGGCAATCTTTGGCTTGTTCCTATTGTAAATATCGAAATTCCTCGATATCGCTTAGAAAAATGGGATGAACTTGAAAACGGAAGTCCGACTACAACAGAGGAGGATAAATTCAAAGCAGTTCAGATTAAAGGAGTAAGCTCTGAAAACAGGACAATCGAAGACCAGCAGCCAAAATATAAAAGGAATGTCCATTTTAGTGAATTTCTACATGAAATTCATCTTTATTCTCCTATTTCAACAGCACACAGCGCGAGATCTATGGAAGATGTTAAAAACATAAATTATGAATAGTTGTTGTCGCAAGATATGGAAATTGACTGATATAAGCCAACATTATTTTCACGTCGTTTTTTATGTGTGCCACTTTCTCCTACGATATTTTCACTTTGTAAGACCTCAATTAAATGTTTGTTTCACGAGGACTCTTAAGTGATGTCAAATGATCAAAGAAAGTACGTTTTTCAAGCAAACGAAACTTCAAAAAATTTGCATGAAAAGACACATCGGAAAATGAGTGGTCGTGTCGAAAGGACATTAATTTTATTGTCCAAATAAAAGACAATAATTACAGCCATCCGAATTAAATTTAGGCCTCATGCACCTGTTAAATGCTATAAAAGAAAGGTTATACGAGATAAAATGACAAGTATTTGTCATGTTAAAAGCTCTTTTCAATTTTCTGGGTTTCGTTTCCAAAAAAATATATATATGTATATATCTAGCCGATTTTTTGAAAACCAACCTAACGAAATTTGCAGTCATTTGAGTGAAAAGGCGTCAAAAGGCAGGCTTTTGGGGCCTGATAAGCTCCAAAATCACTCTAAAGGAAAGGAGAAAGAAAAAGAGCGAGAAGGAAGAAAGGAGGAGAAGAAACAAAAAAAGCAATGGTTGCACTCTCAGTTTCTTAATGGCTACTTTGAAGATAGTTTTTGGCCGAAAAAAAAAAAAAACTGTTGGACGCAAAAGGTCCATTTGGTGGTAACGTTTTCAAATATCCGGCTAGATACATCCTCGGAGACCCAGGGTCGAGAGAAAAGGCGGGACGCAAGTTTTCAAGTATGGGCGAAAGAGCCCCTGGGTTAGATATAGCATATATAGGTTCTAGAAAATCGTTCCTAGAACGTAAAAACCACTACACGAGCCACGAAGTTTGTAAATGTGATACTAGAAACTATCAAAGAGGTGAGTTTCTGACTGCGTGGTGGTGGAGAGAAATGAGTGGTAAAACCCCAGCTTTTCCAAGTTATACTGAAACATATTGCTTAAGAAAAACGGAACGAAAATTGAAATTGTGCGTATGATTGGGAAACTTGGTCAGTACGACGTTGACAAAAATAATGTTTAGCAACCACACTGAGGCAAGATAGTTTTGAGAACAATCAACTGTTCTTTATTTTATACCTTCTTTATCGTTATCTTCTCCGTATAATTAACTCTTAAAAATATGCGGCTACCACCAATTACATTTATAGATTTCAATCTCCCTCTGTGAAATTCGCGTTTGAGACATGCGCAAAAACAACAACTACTAGATTTCCTTTTCTAGTTATTCGTCCTCTGACAATTGGTACTTTACCACTCGTCCCTCAGGTAGTCTAATGGCAATCTGTCGAACCGGTGTAGGGGGAGGTTGAGAGAGTCTTTCTCCGTAACGATCTTTTCGCATTCGTTCAGTCCAGGTCTCAAGTTTGACAGTTTTTAACCCTGCAGTAACATCCAGGATATTCCTGTCAGTGCACTTTGAGTCGTTTGCACGATTTCCTCGACAAAGAGACTCTGTTTTACACCGCATGCCCCATCCATTAGAGAAACCACTTTTAGGCACCTCTACTTTGCTTTGTTTTTTCCTCGTTGATTTAGCCACGGAGCCAATCGGACGCGCTGAGAAAGTAACGCGGTTAACCTTTATGTTCGTGTAATATTGCTTTGTCCTTTGTTTCTTGTTTGAGTAGTCACTTGCAAAACACTGCACGCGTTTGTAAGGATCAACAGTGCATGAACTTCCAGGAGCTGACTTGGAACTTTGTACGCGTCCTGTTGGAGTTCTGGAAATTTTTACGTCTCTCGTTTTAAACTGTTTCCCTTCCTCAGTTTTAGGAGCTGCAATTTCGTATGTTTTTGAATGTAACAGCGCGCGACCAGTCCGAACGGCTTTCTTATGCTGTTTCTCTAGTTTGACATGAGCCTTTTCCTTTTCGCGAATCCTTTTCACAGTCTTGGGTGCCAATGAAAGAAAACACTGTTCCTTAGCAGTCGTCCTTTGAGGAATAGTAATTACCCGTTCATCGCCTGCTACTGGCTGCAGAGGTTTTGTCCGAAGAAATTGGCCGACTTTTTGTTGACTCCGGTTGTTGTTGCCAGCTTCAAGTGGACTCAGCGAGGTGTGTAAGTACTTAAGCCTCCTTAATGCTTGTTCAATCGACTGCTGTTTTAGTGTTTTTTCTGCCAAAAAAACCGCCGCCATTTTAAAAAACCATTTCAGAGTCCAAACGTTCGATAGTAAGACAAGGAATGACTTTTATAATAGTGCCTCGAACATCTTACAACTTCAAAAGCTCTCTTGTCGCGTTGTCAAATAAACTCGTCACATTAACAAAAGAATTGTTTATTTGTTGTCATCATTGAAAAGAACTTTAGTGTGTCAATATCCTATGGACTCGTTCTGAAATAATAATTAGGGGCTATAATTATTAGTACAAGCATTAGTGGAATAGTTTTTTTTGTCTAACATGTCATTGTTCTGACATCTGTTCTGTTTACAGTTCATTCTACAAGTGAGCGTTTTTACTTGCGTCAAAGAAAAGGCATTATTTTTATTTGATTTATTGTTTAAACGCTCGATTGGACTTGAATGGCATACGGCTGCACAATACTGACATGCTTTTCAAAACTTAAAAACAAAACTTTCTTTAATTACAGACAACTATCTCCTAACGGATACCTATATAAGACCGTGGACACAGACACCCAGGGATGGCAACGCTTTTATCTAGACACCATTTATGGTGTACATTTTTCAATGCACGTAGCATAGACAAGAAAAGCATTGATTTTGGTAAAATAAACCATCTAGGAAGAGATCTGGGGGTCAAGTGATTTCTTAAACCGCGGCTTAAAATAGACTTTGTTTCAGAAACCGACCACTAGAGTTAAGCGTGTTCCTAATGTTCACAGTCTGAGAGTGGAGCCTGGGTGAAAATAGAGCGAGCAAGAAAAAAACGAGCGGGGACTGGGAGATGCCGCTCTTTCCAGTCTCCCCAGTTTTTTTGCTCTCGGCTCAAAAAGCCACTTTTGCATCGCCATAATACACCTTGATTACCACCGCCCCGCACCCCTCGCCAAAAGAAGCGTAAACATTGGTTTCCTTTCTCCTAGGACGACTGTAATGCCCAGGAGAAATTGAAAACAATTCCTATGCAAAATTTATGTAGTAAACAAAGAGTATTATGAGCAATGTGAAAGTTGTAAGTTTTTTTTCCCGCCGGCTACGCCTGAACGTCTGCAACAGGCTACTGGAGTTAGTTCCTATACCGTTCGTTTTCTTTAACTCTCTACAAGACCAGCGGACACATGTCTAAAACGGACACTAAGAAGAGACCCCAAAGGTCTTCCTCCTAGAGAGAGCTCTCTGGCTATAGTTTTATCTTGAACGATCGGGCAACCAGGCTAGCCCGTTTTCCTAGGCAAAAATCCCTTGCATAATCTAGCGTAGATGTTGCAGTTAATTTTTAATTTCAGTTAATTTTTGTTTTTCCTTTGTTTTAAATTCATTAGCATACATTACCATACCCCAAAACAATGGAAAAATAAAAATTAACTGAAATAAAAAATTAACTACAACATAGACATACTACTTGTTAACACTGTTATGTCTCAAAATGGAGACGAAACCTCCACCTCTTCCTTGAAACAGCTATGCAGGTGTAAACTTGGGTATAAAAAATCACATGTTTTTTGGCCTAAAATAGGGTCAAGGATTCAAGAAGGGTGCGTATCAACCCGCCCGTTTTCCAAGGGAAGGGCTTGAAATCCACACCCGCAAAGTCGCAAAATGTGTGCAGTTTTCGGAAGTTGCGAGTCAAAAGAATCTCTATTTGCAACCATTTGCGAGTTAGCGCACCCTGGTCCCAGATGTTTTTTTTGAAATTTTCTTCGCGTGTGAGAGAAAAGCCGCTCGACGCGGCGAGGAAGAAGAAAACCTTTGGTTAGCTTGGACTTAAATATTACTTTCAGGCAAACGAGAGGGTCAGAATCTGACCCTTGGGCGCTGATTGGTTGATATTATTACAAACACGCAAATCAATTTGATTGGTTCGAATAATTTGAACTTCCGAGGGGACGGCGAGTCCTTGGGACCAGGGAAGAATTAGCGTTTCTGCATTTCTGCTGGTGGAATTAATTCTTAGAAGCAAAGATTTTGTAGTGGATTAAAAAATAAGTTCGAACTATGGAGCAATGCCCCGCGAGAACAACTACAAATGCATCATATCTAGAGTCCCACAGCCATCCAATTTGAAAAGATTTTTGTATAACCTGAGATCAGGCCCAATTTTAGCGGTTCTCATACATTCTCTCTAACGGCTACCGCTAATTTTTTCTTTTCGCCTTGCCCGCAGGAATGTTATTACAAAGCGAAACGAAAATTGAGCCTGATCTCAGGTTAATTTTTGTACTTCGTCGGTGCATAAGACGTTGTTTAATAAACAAACAAAATCTAATAGAAAGCGTGAAGAAAACCCAATCTCAATAGCTCCCTTTAATCCAAAGTTAATGTAAATTTCCTTTGTCTAGAATGTGCCGTCGGCTGTTGACCAAAACTCTATTGAATTATCCAATCATCTGTTTGCCTTTTAGATATCATGTATTGGTTTTTTTAGACAAAAGTGTTTTCACTGAGGCCCGATTTAATACCTCCCACAAAAGTTAATTATATAGGGGATTACCAGGTTTATAGATGGTGCAGAACACTCTTAGAAACAGAATATACGCGCAATATCTGGACAGTAAACAAGCGCTGTACAACTGGGAATAACTAACCAGTGTAATTTTTCTTGAAAGAAGAGACTTCAGACCTGGAGGCAACACTTTTCCACAATTGGCTAGTTCTGTGAAGCAGGGCTACGACGAGTAGCTGGTAAAGAATTACGCTGGGCTAGGATAGGACAGGCAAAGTTTTGTGCGGGTATTCCAAGTCGACGAACTGGCCGCGAAATTTCAATTTACGACAATAAGAGTCGACTGGTTTCAAGACACGACTGACTCAGTTAAAATTCTCAGGTTACAGTCCTACATTTTCGAGCAGCAGTGGTCTTGTTGTAAGCTGTCTGAAAATGACCTTCTCTCCAGAGCCGATGCCTTCATCTAATGAAGTCTGTCAGAGCCGGATAGACCAAATGTCACCCTATTTTGATGTCCAAGAGTTCAAATGCACGTCTCGAAGTAGCAGCGATTCTTTTGAAGATGTCCTCCCCGCCATTGATGTGATGTCAATTTGCACTCAACTTTCAACGCAACCGAGTGCATCTCGGGCTGCAAAGCGGAGAGTACATTTCACACTAACGCCTTCTGTGTTTGGGGCGGACGGAAGCTCTTCACCTCAAGTTACCAGCTGGAACTATAAACCTGTTAGGTATGTAAATAACACTGAAAACGCATCCAAGAGAAGAGGGATGAATATGAACAAAAAAACTGACAGAGATGAGTGGAGTTTAGCGAGGGAGCACAGTCAGAGAGTGGGTTACTCGTCCCCAGCTTTCCGATGCAGATCTCCTCCCTCTCGACTGCACAAGTTCAGAAATGCACAGAACAAACCTGAACAAACTTCGTCTCACACGGAAGCTGTTTCCGAAATGACCATACAAAGAGCTATTCTCTTCCAGAGAACTCTAAGCTCTAACTTTATCACGAATGATGAAAGAAGAAAACACAATAACACTCCCATCTGCGACTTGGAGCCAGAAATTCTGAAACTGCCTTTGAAAAAGCACGTGTCCATGCCGGATTTAAAGTCATTGCACTCAACGCTCTACAGTAGAGGAGAAAGAAAAGACAGACAACAGTATATTTTGAGGAAAACATACAAGAATGTCAGCACAAGAGAGAAGACTCAAGCATTGATCGTGCCAGACGTGGAAAACAACATAACAGTAGGAAAATGTCCATATTGTATCGCGAAAAGTCAAAGCCTCGGCAATACCAAGGACGTTATCAAGTTTAAAAAGATTGACATAAAGTTACCGTGTCTGGATACAAACCAAGACCCATGAAGTCATCTCTGATTTGGTATTGTTTAGTTCTTAAGCGACGTTTTCATGCTGTCTAGATTTAAATTAAAAACCAAAATTAAATTACTTTATTTATCTTCAGCAGTATTAATAATGGCACAAAGTTTAGTGGGGCCGAGCAAATACATGAAACAAATAATTCCAATGAAACATAGCAAGGATAAGAATCCAATATGGCCGCAAGCAAACAAGTTGGCTATTTTCGTTTTGAACTCTCGGGACAACTGTTAACACATCCGAACTTGAACTCGGGGCCTTTTCTCTGTGGCTCTGGATTGTCCAAGTCCAACGCTCTTACTTATTGCTCGACCATGGCAGCCTCTTTCAAGATCCACGAGGTGCTTGAGGCAGCTTGCTTCTTAGCCCTCTATTCAAAGAACTTTTCTTAATTAACTGACAAATGCGTTGTTCTCTGATACAAAGAAAACGATGCACCGAGGACGGAGATTGTTTATAGCATGACATTTCCTTAAACATCTTGGTTATACAACACTGGGCTTTGTAAGAGCATTCGCGATATGTAAGTCAGTTTAGTTACAACTAACCTTGCTATTGGCAGCAAAGTTTAAACAACGGCCATGGTGAAGCATTAAAGAATAATTAAGAAGTTTTGCGTCGCAGTTGTGTAATGACGTCAAAAAAATGTACCAAAAAGAAAGTGTGCTGCATGAGAAGAGATATTACTTTGCTTACAAACCGTTCTTTTTTAACAGCGATTTTTCTTTCTATGTTCTAGTTACCGTTAAGCCTACAATTCAGTTTACAGTAAAAAAAAGCCGTCTCGGCCGACAAACGAAGCTTTATCAGGATGCCCAGCCCCATGAAAAGTCAATTAACTTTGGAAAGCTACCAATCACCTAATACTAATTGATATAACTCCCATTGTTCTCAGAAAGAACGCTGTTTTTGAACAAGTGCAGCTTTTATAATCCATCCAGATAATTCCAATATAAGCTTCTTATTTAAAATCTCAGTAATTTCCCAGCTGGCGGTCTGCTTTTAATAAAAACGAGACAGACAAGAGTTTTCTTTTTTAACTTTTATCTTCTTAACAGGATAAGATGCGACCGAGATGTTTACTTAAGCGCAATAAATGTACGTAATTAACACAACATGGGTTCATTTATTTTTAGCACAAATTCGTCTCACATCTTCGTACAATAAGTTAGTTAGCTTTGTCATGTAGATATCCACTTGTATTTGTATTAAATTTTGATTTTAATTATCCACCTCCTAAGGACTCCTTCTTAATGGAAAGCCACTCTGATCGAGTGATGTTTTTTACAGATCAAGGCCGATTTCACCAATTCTCTTTTTATATTCAAATTTTAGCCACTTTTGAAGAGTTTGGACATTCTGATCACTGTTTGTTTGCTCAGGGCAAATTTCCTTGAAGTTTTGACTTGGTAATTAATCAAATCGAATGCTTGATCTAATCGTTTTCCTAGACATAGCGTGCGGCCAGTTACAGGATGTTTAGGTCAGCAAAGTGCTGAGAGAGGACAATGTGCGAAATTGTACGGACAGGAAAAAATAATTACAAGCTCATAATTACGTTTTTGTCGTAGAGGCGAGGAAATCAATATTCAGTGTAATTTTGAACGAGCACACACGGTACGTCAAGCTGCTCGCTACTCCAATCAAATTAAAACTTGGGGCTATAGAAGTTCTGAGATTCGGAGCGAGAGGCAAAAAAGTTATATTGGCATGGTTAGCTGTATTTGCCCTGCTCAACGTTTGCAATGTACAAAGGAAAAGAGAGATCCAAGTCTTCGAAACTCGCAGTCGGAGCGAAGCAATCGTTGTTTGTTCAAAGAAAAAGGACGAAAGAACTAAGCAAAAGTTTGGGCGATTTATCTAACTTGAAAAGAGAAATCTACGAAAAGTTGAATGGAAAACTCACGAAGCCAAGCCCTCGTTCGCTTCCACCTCGAAGACTCGGCGAAACAAACGTTTCACTGGAAATTGATGATATAGGGACATCCTTAGCAACTAGGGATTGCTACTGCGTGCTAAAGACGGGGATCAAACGAGAACACCTAACGTTGGAGAGTACGCCTGCACCACCGCCTTCAAGAGACGAACAACGCTTACGAGATATAGCGAGAGAAAACTCAAACTCAGCGAGTTTTAACACCATGAGGCAAAAGACATTAAAAGTTAATGATATTGTACACACAGCGTCGAAACTTGAAGCAGAGTATCTTAGGAGAGCGAAATCACCTGCTTATTCAAGGAACTTTACGAAGAGGACTCTAAATGGATATCGCTGTGTTTGCGAAGGGAGTAGTTGCACTGAGAGAGTAAAACCAAGTTGCAGACTTAAGAAACAAGCGCTGATTGTTAAAATTCCCGGGCTGTCCGACAACTTAAACGATTATAATTGTAAGAGAGGATGGGACACGAGATCAAATTTTTCGTATCGACATAAAAGGTAAACTTAAGGTTTTTTTTGGAATAGAGCAAGTATATTTATTATATAAGAAGATAGAATTTAAGCGTACTCTGACTGCCAGTGCGCGATAAACCTCCCAATTAAGTCAACTGCACGGCGGGTAATCCGAGTTATATTCAAGGACATAAATTAAGTATATTTGTAAATTTTGCTCCAATAATCTGATAACTAATATTATTATATTTTTGGGATAAATTTTATTTGCACTGCCGACAATGAAAAATGAAAAAAGCATAGAAAGCGTTGAAAACCTTAAGGGACCAAGCCATCGAATTTTTCTCTTTCTAGCCACAAAAAAAAAACCTGACATTACCTTCAGTATAAATGTTCTTATTCTTAGCACTAGGTACGTGTTGAGAACACTGTTTTATAATTTCTTCTAGCGTGCATTTCTCTAAAGTCCCGGCAACTTCTTTGGCCCGAAGCCTAATATTAAAATCAAAATCTAAAGGGTAGAAGCGCCTTTCCTAGCTAACAAACCATTTTTTAACGAATCGCCTGCAAAACTATTGAAACCTCGATGTTGAGTATAAACACAGCAGACCTGAAACAGCTTTCCGGGTCCGAAAAGCTTTCGGGACTTTGAGAAACGTACGTCTGACACAAGCGACTTTCCGCTCTGCAGACCGGCACCCTCATCAGAGCTTACCCGGCTGTGGGTTACTGCAGGCACTTTAGAAACCCCAAGGATATTTTCCGAGTAGGCAAAAGAAAGTAATATATATGCAACAACAACAACAACTTTTGAGAAACGTACGTCGGACAAAAGCGACTTTCCGCTCTGCAGGCCGGCACACTCATGCATCTGAGCTTACCCGGCTGTGGGTTTACTGCGAAATCCCAAGGATATTTTTCGAGTTGTCAAACGACAGTAATATGCAAATCGGCTTTCCTTTCCTATCACAGAGTGGTTCAGGGTTGGCTATTTTGAAAATACAATCTTGAAAACGTGAGACCGGCATCGCTGAGGTGAGGCAGAGATCTGCTGGTTAAGGGTGTGTTGCACTCCCTTTCGAAGAAAACGGTAAACTGACGCTCAGATCTAATTTACAGAATTTGGCATTTGCGTTCTCGACAACTATAAGGGAGGCATTTAGTCTTCTGTACACCTCTTCTTTTAATATCAATTCAAAAGTAATTTACATAAGTATAAGTATGGTTCATATTGAAACTTGATTCTCTGAGTTAACTTTAAATTCGTAACTGACCATCTCCCGCGCGCATCAACTGCGTAGCAAAAGACAGCTGAAAACGCCGAAAACAGTCGCACTCAGTTGATTTGTGAAAGGTTGCAAGGACGGAAATCTTATTATATCATGCACTTTATACTTTATATACATGCTTTCTGTTTCTGGTACAACAGAATAGAATAACACATGAAGGCCTTTAGGACTATAAAGACCACTATAAAGTTCTTTATACGAGTCTCGCGTTTTCTTTAGCTTCCAAAGAAGCAAGGAGGTTCTAGTCATCAGACAAATCCTTGCTATCAGACGAATAGAGTTCAGTAACAAAGTTTTAGTGGCTTGAACACAGCACTTTTACAGTATTCCTGTCGTTTTCCAAAGCATTCCATAGTATCTTTCTATAACTTACGAATTTCATAATCCAGCCATGATAGTTTGAGCCTGTAGACTGCGTTCTTGGGTGCTCAGTGTGGACGCAGCAGCTAACAGCTCACCACACCTTCATAAAAATATACAGACAAGATAATCCATTACTACAGGAGATATTAAAGGAGCAAGTTTGAACGAATTTCGATGTTTTAACAATTCTAGTCAGTTACGACTTACCGTTTCTGTTCCTGAATTTCTGATTCAACAGTTTTTGACAATCCTTCCATTTCCTTAGCAAATGAATCAACCTGAATGATTGCAGAATGAATACATTAAACATTGCACTACATACGGTACCGGCCGGAATACGACACTCTGTAAATTTGCCTTGAATACTGCTGTAAATGCAACGCGTGCTACGTTGATCAAAGTCGACCTAGCAAACATCAGAATATTTTGATATGCAAGCTATAAGGATGAATTGGATGCTAATGCTGAATGATTGGTTCTTGACTAACATTTTCTACGTTCACTGTTCACAAACCTCCAATTAGTTTGCCTTCCTGCCTTCCTGCAAAACTCTTAAAGTTCTTCAGATTTGGCATGTGAAAATACCGTATTTATTCGATTACACGCCGCGGCGTTTATAAAATTTTTAGCATTTCCAATGCGGCGTTTCTTCAAGGGCGGCGTTTATTTCGAAATCACTTTTTTTTCAATCACTGACAACATTTATCGTAAATCGTTTGTAAATATTATGTAATTTGAAGATTCCAGTGTCTCCCTTATTTTGCTGAGATAGAATCATAAATGTCTGGATGATGTAAATTACCAACTTGTACCGAGGTTTTTCTTATTATATTCGAGTAAACGCCGCATTCTTCTGATTAAGTGTGGCGTTTATTCGAGGGCGGCGTTTAATCGAATAAGTAATGGTAACAGGACTGAGTGGAGTCCAATTCGGTCTGTAATCATACGAGTGATTAACAAAATCGGACTACCGCGTAGCGGGAGTCCGATTTGTTTAATCACGAGTATGATTACAGACTGAATTGGACGACACGAAGTTCGGTTACCAATTAATCATAACTGTAACAAAATTTGTGATATGTAAGCCCTTTTTTTAAATCAAAACAGAAGAAATTCCAATTTTTTTTTTTATGCTAGTAATGAAAAAAAGCCATTTAAGCGCGTGCTTGATGGCGCGTACTGTCCAATTACTTAGGCATGACGCGTACTGTCCTATTAAATTGTCCAATTAAGGCTGAAATCAGGGCAGTTGATAGCCAATCAGATTTGAGAATTTTGTTATAGTTATGATTAATACGGTAATACTTCAAAGGAAAATTCTATAGCCCAGTATGTTAAAGCAATTACCAGTCATTTGTTTGTTTATAAAAGCTGTTTGTATGTTTAGTGTGTTTTCGTTCTCCTCGTATAATGATACACTACATTCGTTTCTAACTCACCTTCTGCTGCTTATGCTTCGTAAGCTCATCAATTTCTCCCAACAGCCTTTCACTCTCATCCAGTACAGCGAAGAGCTCGTCTACAATATGAAGGATCAAGAGCTAAAGTCAATCTTTGTCTAAAATAACACGCCTACAAACTTACTGTACTTAATTTCTAAATCGAAAAGAGTAAGTTAAAGAAGTAAAACATATTAGTAAAATCCAGCTAGTGGTCTATTATCAGTGCTGCGTTCTGATTGGTTGAGCTACTACTAGGCTATATGACATAGCCCACTAGTAGCGAAAAGCGCCGGCTTTTTGGCGGCAAAAAAAAGATTGAAGTCTAGCTTAAGCAGCTAAATTTTTTTTATTCTCGATATTTTTGACCAACTAGTTGGATTTTACTAAAACAATTATTGCTCTCACCCTCATGTCCTCTGAGTCAATAGCCCATTTGGCCTTCTGCCTCATGGGCTATTGACTCAGAGCCCATTCGGGCTCAAGGAATAATTGTTAATTAGTCGGCATCTTTCCTACAATTCATTACCCTGACCAAAGGGTACCAACTAATGATGTTAGGTAAAGGATCGTGACCAAAACACCACACGGGTACATACGGGTACCATACGGGTAGGTTTACGATATAGTAATTCCTTCGGGTTTGATTTTCTGACACTCAAGCAAAAACGGCTATAACACCCAAATGTATGTCATATTAACCGCTATATAAATCAGTGAAGGCAGCATGGCTGAGCAGTTAGAGCGCTGGAATTGCAATCGAGAGGCTCCGAGTTCAATCCCCGCTCTAATCGCGAGCTGGATTTGTTCTCAGTAGTCCAGAGTGCAACTTCTAGGTCACGCTTGTAAATAGTCAACTCGTTTGCCTCCGGCCAGTTGGGAATCTTAACCATATATGTTTATTTCAATTATTTGTCTCTGCCCTTCAGTATTCGTGGGTCTTCATGTAAACTATTGGGTTACCTGTAATTTGTTACCCCTACAAAGTCAATCTTTTATATTTCACTACTTTAATCGGAATTCATACCATGGTTATCAGGTAGAAAGACTCCATTAACAGACATGTGATGTCTGGTGGTGTCTAATGCTGCAGCTAGTTTACTGTACTCTAAGATCAACTTGAGCATGTTGGAGCCGATCGGCTTCAGTCCTGACATCTGCAAAACACAAAATACCCGAAAACAAATTCGGCCTTTACAGCTAAGAAGTATTAGAGTGGACAATATGGGGAGTAAGCAGCCAAGTTTCTTTTTACTATTTCTTTTTTTGGGGGCGGGAGAGGGGGGGTTTAAGCTCAGCCTCCTGCAGTGGGTGTCTCGATGGGCCCGCGGTTGGGAGAACCGTGGGCGCATCGAGACACCCGAGGCTGGAGACTGGGCCTAGAGGGAAAGTCACAAGGTCACATCAGTTTTGCAAATGCTTAGTATAGCACATTAATACGTGACCCAAACAAAATAATTATATCAATAAAACAGAGACCAAGTATTTAGAATAAAACTGATTTAAAAGAAAAAAAACGGTGACTAAGCTCACTAGGGCACAGTATAAAGTGCAGCAGTTTGTACATCTGTCGTTTTAAAATGTCCCTTTTGGAAATGTTTTCTTGGCAACTGGGACGCAGTCTAGAGACAGTTGCCGACACAAGAATGAATGAATGAATAAATGGGCAGCAGCAGGGCAGAAGAATGGCCGCTGCTGACAGTTGACCTTGTGGATGTGAGGGGAATGAACCTTTGCATGTCAAACTACACAAGGTTCGAATAAGGATGAACAGTTTTTTAAATCTCCTGTGCCGGAAGTCCCAGCTCCAGTCACAGATTGAAAAGTAGTTGAATAAGACTGTAGAGGAACTGGACTTTCAGGTGCTTGTGTGAGAATGAAAATAATGAAAGGACATCGCACATCATGTACTTAAAAGAAATGGAAGTTGGAGCTTTTTTCATTTGAGCGGAATAACGCTTTCTCTGATTGGCCAATCATGGAAAGGCAAGTGATTCAAAGAACCAATGAGAACTCGAACCAAACACATGTGGCCGGCCTTGGGCGCGGGAAAACTTGTTCCATTTTATCATCGGTTGCTAGAAGTGGCGCGAAAAACCCAGGCATTACAATCGCTAAATCAGTTTCGACCAACGATTCGACATTCATCTAAAACCCCGCTCGAAGTCACTCATGCACCAACAAAGAAAGCAAATGATGTATCCGCCATACCTGAAGCTGTATCTGTTTATCTAGTTCGGCAATTTTAGTTTTCATTTTCAGTTGTAACTCCAGGTTGGCTACTTCGCGTTGTAGTTTCTCTTTCTCTTGCCATACCGAGTACATCTGAACCTAAAACGCGATAAGACAAGGTTTATACTAGATGTATAAATTAAAGTAAATAGTATCTAAAACGCGAGATAATTTCATTTAATGAGAAAGCTACCTGGGCATCTTTTTCTTTCTGGGAAAATGAATGCTTCAGCTGCAAAAAAGGAAAAAATAAAAACAAACAAACAAAAGTCGCAAAGTGATTAAGACACGTTCTGAAAAGGGGGATTTGCCTCACAAACGCGGGACCACGGAAAGAAGGGGACACGAGGCCCATGTGATCCCCCAAGGCGCAACGCAAGCTGCCCTAGATTAACATCATCCTTTGGGGGACGGAAACTTCTTCGCCTTGTCATGCAGATCAACTAGTGTTCATGAGATTCAGTGGAATTTGGTACGTTTTTCTTGAAAATAGCGGTTTTTACCAAATAAGTTATGCGCAGAAACGTTTGCAAGAGGGAGGCAATTTTAACTTCCCCCGATACGAAATCAAAATTGAAAGTCTTACCCTTGAATACAAAAAAGCAGCTTGCACAACCCTTGAATACTGAAGTTCAAGTTGGCGTTGTGAGATATCCTGATCCATTTCCGAGGATGTATGAATAACCTGAAACACATCGTAGTAAATGCGATAAATTTTCCTACTAGCAGCAGGTAGGTTTTTACGCTGTGTACACTCAACCCTCAAACAATACAGCTAAGAAACTGAAACTTTTTAACTAAACTAATGTTATTTAGAGAGGGTGAAAGACTTATCTACCTGTCGGTTGGGGGGTGAGGGGCGGGGTACTTTCTAGTAGTAGGCTAATGGGTGTGGGACGCCGGATGGGGTCGCATTTTCACGACCGGATTGGCTATTATGGGCTTGCAATTTTATAGGAGTTACTAGAATGGGGACACACACTTTCAGGATTTTGGGGGTCAGAAAATTTAGGTACATGTATGTAGGGATTTAAAAATAGAAAGATTTACACCGCACCAAGTTTAACAAATGCGCCAGTTCATTTCAGGATGACCAAGTAAAAAGGCTTTATAAGGTAGATGCATAAACAGCAAGCGACTAAGTTAGGATTGCAAAATTTACTTCTTCCCACATTTACTAAGAGGCGGTCTATAAGATGGCTACAGAATAGACTATAATGAGGGGCTCTGAGAGGCCAGCGGCACATATCCAGCAAATATTAACCCAGCCTGTCGCCCTTTAAGTGTCCCAGACTAATTTGTCTTTGAGACACCTTCAAAGATCGAATTGGAATTTGGACATAATGGTTGCTGAGGTGAAGGGAAAACTGAACAAACCCAGCGGAGAAGACCCTGTTAGAGTAAAGAAAACAACTAACAACAAAATCGACCCACATATGACGTCGCTTCCGGGATTTGAACTCAGGCTACAAAGGTAAGAGGCGAGTGCTTTCATGTCTGCGCCATCTCTGCACAACAGTACAGAAAGCGTGTGAGTAGCAGAAGTTACACATCAATGTTACTCATTGCTAGATCCTACCTCAGATGGAACTGGAGGCTTTGCTGTCACATGATCTGCTTGCAGTGAATGAGCTTGAGATGAGCCATAAGATATATAAAAAAGCAATGTTTACAGGTGATTTTCACGACATAACACCATCAAAAGACACAATCAGCTCGCTGGAGCAATATGTAATATTGAAGTATTACCGATAATCACTGAAGAGAGGAACAGCTATGTTGTAATTATACATGTAGAGCTGAAACAAAGCTGCAAATAATTTTTCTTTCTTAACATACGTCTGGCTTAGTCAACCATTTTGGTCAGACCAAGCACAAAGTAAGGTCAGATTCAATTAAAGAGGCATTACGCGACTTTACTGAAAATGTGCATGGTAAGCGCGGGATTCGCTGGCGAACGGGCTACAGTCAAATATTCCTTACAAAACTGTCTAACTTCGTTGATGTGACAGTTGACATGTGATCAAGGTGGATTGTGTTAGTCTAGGCATCAGATATTAGATTGTCTTTGGTATGAACTTTGTCCATACATCGTGTCCGACCACAGATGAAATTTTTTTGGACATGCACCAATTTTACACGGGAATAATGGAATTTAAGCAACGAAGACGATGACGGTGTCGAAACAACTCTTAAAAGGTGAATTCGCGCTGGTTCATACTTCATCGCTCTTATTCCGTAGAGCTAAATCTTGTTAAACGCTGGTGATTTTTTACTGAAGTTGAATTCTGCTGAAAGGACTGTATCTGTAGGTTTAAATATAGCATGAGAAAATCATTGTCTTGTGTTCAGGTCTTCTACAAAACGTGAAATTATGAATTGCCACGTCGTAGTCGTGCAACAACGGCAAATCGTGATGTACGCCCAAAGTTTCTGTTTTGTGAATCTAAAGCTACTGATTACTTTTTGCCGTTCTCGTTGACGTCATCGTCGCCGTTGCTTAAGCTCCCTGTCCGATGACCGACGGTTCTTTGCAGCTGTGAAACAGTATCGATTTGTGAAGAGTCTTTCTTTTATTTGTGATCACTACCAATAGACACTCCTTCCCTGCTCAGTTGTAGCAATGTTAAATTTGTCTTTATTTATGACGTTTACCTGTCGACTTGATAGCTTGTTTCTTCGTTACAACTGCAGCTTGCGATTTAGATTTATCACGAGCGACTTTTTTAACAGCTGCAGCACCTCCACCATGGACACGGGTAGATGTTGGGATTCCCTGTGGTAAGATAGGGGTGGGGGCTGCCATGTGAGCAGGGGGGTCAACACCAACCATGCCGTCAGCTGGAGTGGAAGTCACTAAGCCTTTCTGTTGTGATGTGTGTCGCACAAAAGGTGTATTGACACCTAAGTTCAGGCCGCTGTCATATGAGTGTGAGTGGATTAAGGACTGATCTCTAGATTTAGGCGCTGCTGTTTGTGCCTTGACTTTCTTCTTAGTGGGCAGTGAAACCTCCTGTGAATGAAGCATTAGAACCATACAAAGAATATAAATGCAGGGAATGGGTCTTAAGCACAGGTTTCTTAACAGAAGCCAGCAAATGGCGGAATTCCGCCGGCTGTGAGCAGTTACTTGTAGTCACTAGCCTAGGACCAGTCTCAACACCGCCTTGGGATAATTCAAAATTTGGTATGAAATACAATGAAACATGATTCAAGTCTTTCTGATACCTTTCCCGCTGCCTTTTTTGTGACCTTTGCTTTCTCCATGTACCTGGAGGGAACAATACGAGCTGAAAAGTAAAAATGAACATTAATTTAACTTGTTGCCTGAAATTCATTGAAGATTGTTGTTGTTGTTGTTTTTGTTTGTTTGTATGCAAAATTGAAAGCATGGATCGAGAGGAAATAAGTCTCGCAGGTTTTTATAATAAATAATCAATTTTGAAATATTGATTGGGTTTAGACCTCACCAGTCTTCTGTTTCTTTTTCTTCAATTTCGAATTTGGTCTTTCGTCACCTGGTAAACTGAAAAGAAGCCAACAAAATCAGCACTTTTATTTATTTCAATAATCTTATTTTTGCCTACATAATATAAACACAAGAAAGTAGAAAACAATAATGGAAAACGCTTCAACTGTGATTGACTAAGCCTCAAAAAAAATATCCAATTTGTAAAACTTGAAGTTTACTTTGAATTTTAAACTGTGAAAACGTTATTGCCTCACATTAGCAGTCTCCAACATACTTGTACAACTAAAACAACTGAAAGAACTACAGTATATATTTCCATATATTATTCTTATCTCAGGTTTTCACGGCAAAAGTTTTAGTCCATCAGTTTCCACACGTGGGTGGCATATTGCGTAGCCCTATACACCCCTGGTCAAGGTACATGTTGATACAGGTCCTCATCTACTACACCTGTTTTGACCACTTCCCTTAGCTGTGTTATGAAATGGCTTTGGGTAATCACACAACAATCCTGAGGTAATCAAAGTTTAGCCATCTATGAATCAAAGGACTTTACATGATCAGAATCTGATCTAAAAGTTTTTCATTTGTCTACAGCACTTACATATTAGACTGATCACCATCTCCAGTTTGTGAAGAAACATCTGGAACTAAACAGGTGATATATTTAGTCAATAAAGTTCATAAAAATGTTTTAACCTATTTTTATAACTATTGCAAAGAAAGTCAATTTTACAGCTTGCTGAAACATCTGGAACTAAATAAGTCATATATTCACTCGATAAAGCAAACAACAAAACAACAACACTTTATTCACATTTCCATTACAGGGTTTGTCAAACTTATTGAATAATTAGTAACTTAACACGTAGAATATTCAATTACAATTTAAACTAAATATTATTACATAGAAGGAAATGCCTAGCGGCTAGATAACCGTAAGGTTTTCGAGCTAGCAACTAGTTCTTTGAAAGTAGTGTCGAATGTACAGGACATCACAATAACTAGACATACAAAACATCTTAAGACACACACCATAAAAAAAAAAAAAGAAAGCACATAGATGGCAAAAAAAAGAAGAGAAAACAGTCATCATAGTACATGACGATATGATTAAAATAAAATAATTTCAGTAAGTTAATTGTTCGGCCAACAAGTATTCTTTTAATGTTTTAGGAAAGTTATAAGTTGAAAGGTCTTTTATATGGGTAGGGAGCTGTTGCCACAATTCGGTCGCCATAGCCGCTGTTGTTTGCTTTCCAATATTGGTCCTGGAACGTGGTTTGTAGAAGTTACTTTTTGAAGCATATCTCGTATTATATGTATGGACTTCACTTGCATAGCGAAAATGCTGATTAAAGATATTTGGTAATTTTTTAGAATGCCACTGATGAGTGAAGTTAAGAAGCTGTAGTTTATAGATATTTGTAACAGTAAGTAAATCCAATAAATTAAGTAATGGTAATGCACTGTCTGTATCTGGTCCAAACAAGGTGGCAAAGAACATAACGCGGATAACATGATTTTGTTTTGTTTGGATTTTTTTAATTTGAGTAGTAAATGCACTGCCCCAGGAGGTTATCGCATAAGATATATAAGGATAGATCAGATTATAGTATAGTTGTTTAAGTTGTAAAAGGGAGGTGCAGTGTCTGAGTTTGCCAACAATTCCTGTGTTTCTAGAAATTCGAGTACATAAATAAGACACCTGATGTTTCCATGATAGCGTGTCATCTATAAGTACGCCCAAATATTTTATGTAAGTTCTCTTTTCTAAGCCGTAGGTGGAGCCATCATTGTTAGTTAATTTTACATCCCATGATATATTTGTCTTCTTTTTAGGTGATTTAATTATCATATAATTAGTTTTCTTTAAGTTGATGGATAGCTTGTTTAAGTCACACCATTCTTTAACTTTGGATAATTCATGGTTAATTAAGTTTTGTAATTCCACGGCATTTGAGGAAGACACAAAAATATTGGTATCATCTGCAAATATTCTAAAGGACAATTTATCAGAGCAGTTAGGGATATCATTAATGTATAGTAGAAAAAGGAGGGGACCAAGAGAACTGCCTTGCGGGATACCACATTTAATAGTTTGTTTAGAAGATTCCACACCGTCAATGCTAACATATTGCTGTCTATTGGTAAGATAACACTTCATAACCGCAGTTGTTCAAATGATTTAATTTCTGCCTAAGAAGTTCGCAGAAATTTTCGGCGGTGCCGTGAGGATGTCTATAGATGGAACTAATAATAATACTCTTTTGCCTTTCTCTCGGTAGTTCAACAAAGCACGTTTCAAAACCGTCAGAAGAAAACTCTAGGTCCCGCCTGCGAAAAAAATTCAGGTTTTGTTTTATGTAAATACCAACTCCCCCAGCATTCGTTCTAGAATTCACACCAACAAAATTGTAACCAGGTATATTAATATTGTGAAGATGCTGATTATTGTCGTTTAGCTTAGTTTCAGAAATAGTTATAATGCTAGGCATTTCCTTCACGGTTATCAAAATATCATTAAGCAGACATAAATTCTTTCCTAAGCTCCGAATATTACAATTGAATATTGAGAAGCCTCTTGTGTTAAATTTTTGAAAGCACGTGCCAGATTGCTTGATTGTGTAGTATTTTGACTCTATCTTTAAATTTCCTAAGATATTCAAGAACTGATCGTTTTTGTCAGGGCTTTCAAGAACGTTCTCAAATAAATCTCTTTCTTCAAGCGTAAGAACAGTATCGTACACCCATGATCCCACAGCTTTCGCGAATTCTCGCCTGTCTGTTAAGCCATAAAATGGCAGTTCCGATAAATAATTCACAGTCGTGTCAAGTGATTATAATTAAATAACTTGAAAAGTTCACAAAAATTTTTTAACCTTCTTATGTGATTATTGCCAGGGTGCAAAGAAAGTCAATTTTACAGCTTGCCATTCAGACAAGCTGTTAGCTGGCAAGTACTTACTCAAGACAAGAGTCATGTTTCAACTAGCCCCCATAGAAATTTTGATCAGCAGGATTGATTTACAGTTCTTCCTTAATTTTAATTCCCCAAAAAACTTCATTTAAGAACAGAATTCACAAGCCCAATAGCAAAATCCACTAGTCCTGGGCTATCGGACACTACTTTCTTTAAACACTGCTTGTACATGTTAATATCCCATTGGATGGTGTGGTAAACACTTTATAAACACATCATACACAACATATTTCTCTGTCCAACATTAACCATAGGTTTTCAGTTTATGATAAAACTAGCCTAAGTTTCCTTGTCCACAAAAGGCTCATATTGCATAAACTGAAAAATCACAAGACAAAATCTACGAAGTGAGAAACACAGTGATAGCTAAAAACTGCAAAAGCTGACCTTTTCAAATTGAGAATAACATCTTCATCTATGTAGAACCATTTCCTTTAGTTAACAGTTTAATAAAGTCACAAAACAATACTCTTTCTTTTACTTCTATATTATTATTTATACTGTACCTAATGAGAAATCAAAAAGCTGTTGCTTTATTTCTGATGTTGATAAATTAGAGGATAGTGGTGGAGGTTGATATCCCTCTTCTCCTAAAAAGCTCTTGAACTGAGAAGCATCTCTTGTTTGCCTCTGCTCAGCAATTCTTGTTTCAGTAGCTAAACTCTCATGATCCAATGGGCTCTCACCTATCGAGTGTTCACTGGCCAGACTGTCTGTAAATATTCATAATTATTTTAAATAATCTCATAACATTAATTTTTACTCCACGATAAACCTAGCTTGTGTGTTACATTAATCACAATCAGGGCTGTCACTATGGCTACTCAGTATAATTATGAGCATTACCGCTAGCTACTTCTAATCTACAGGTTATCAGAAAGTTTTGAATTAGACGGCTGAGTTGTCAAAGTAAGTGGCCAGCCAAGGGATATTTTATTTAGAAAACTCCATCCGTAAAGAGATGCCAAGCAGAGTAGCCAGCCAATACTAACCAAGTAGGAGGCGATTTTTGCCGGCAGCCAGTTAATTGACAACCCTGCTTCTATAGGAAGAAAAAGGAAAAAAGAAGCAAAAGAGCTACCTGACTGTTCAATTTCCCACCAAAATACTGCATATACCTAGCAATTTAAAAGCTTTACAGTAACAGCCCCGACAATGTAACAATGATATGAGCTCAATGATTCAAGTTCAATTATACACTTATGGACCAAAAAGGCATTAAAGGGACAACATTGTTATTTACTAAAGACTAACATGATAAATTTCAATGATTTTAAAGTTTATTATTACCAATTATCATCATCATTATCATCATTATCAATCATCATCATCATCATTGTCATCATCAAAAATTTTTCAACTAAACTACTATTATTAACTGTCATTTTAATTTGAGAGAAGAAAAGATCAAGGACTGCTGTTACTGATCCAATGGCATGTACTCTTGAACCAAGACTACTCTGACTTAATAATATTTTTATTAATTTTATTAAAGATCGCAAACCTGGGCTAAAATGAGATGGTGATGGATCTCCCTTTCTTGCACTGGAGCCAAGTAGATTAACACTTGGAACACCTGCCACCTTAACTCTTCTCCCTGACTCTACATGACCAGTCACAGTGTTTACATTATCTGATCTCTGAAAAAGGCTAGAATTCTCTAAACCATTTCTATTCCTTCCCACACTTCGAGGTGAATGGCACACAACTCTCACCGGGGATTTAATTATGCCTGTAACAACAGGGACCTCAGCAAGGTCAGGACTCTTGTGGTGGCCTGTGGCATCAACCAAAAGAACTGGTGAGGTCTGTTGAGTTTCTCTTTGTTCAGGGTAAGTCACAACAGGTGAATGTCTGCAGAACATTAGGGAGCATCTCCAAATTAATATCAGAAATTTGGTTTCCGATTGCCCTCGTGGCATTTTCCGATTCCGACAGCTATAAACAGCGTTATACTACTTCAACATCCATCTTGGAGGCCAACCCCAGGGTCAGATGTAGGCACTAAGACTCTAGTTTAGGGAGATTAAATTTATTACTTCAATCACTGGGGGTAGGTGCATAATGTTTTTCACACTGCCACCATCTTAAAAATAGCAAGATCTTGGGAACATGATTAAATAATTCTGAGAATGGATGCCTTTTCCTGTCCATATCTAAAAAACGTATGAATCAAAGAAGACAAGAAAAAATGGCGACAGAGAGAAGAGATTGTGATTTTTGACATTTCTTATATACAGTTGACTCCCAATAACTCAAACCCTCGCTAACTCGAGCCTTGTGCTAACTCAAACCAAAGTCTATTTCCCCTGGATTTCCTTTATACATTTACTGTAATTTTACCCTTGGTAACTCGAACCCTTGATAACTCAAACCTCCTGCTAACTCGAAGTACTTTTTGTTTCCCTTCATAGTATTACTACATGATTTTACCCTCGATTACTCACACCATGTTTTAAGTCCGTAATAAGTCAGAAAAAAAAAACAGCGTACCGTTTTATTTTTTAAGCAGAAGTCCGAAGCACTGAATTTATTTCAAAACAAATGTGTCAATTCTTTGTCGTTACTTTTTATGTCACTCCAGTTCAAATTCAGTGTCCATCCCTGTGATGTGTGCATAATACTTGTTTTCCCCTTCTCATCTGTTTGCTTATTTGCTTACTTCAGGTTATTTGCTTCTAACAACTCCCGATAACTCGATTTCCCTCTCCTAGAGGAGGTTCGAGTTATCGACAGTCGACTGTATGTCTCTTCTTTTCAATGGCTTCTTTAATTCTACAAGATGTAGGTGTCTTGGGTTGATTGCTGTTTCCATTCTGTTTACATTGTCTTACATTACGTCAGTGATAACATTAATTCATATCTGGGAAACGTCTAACCATGATCATGCCAAAATATGTGACTCTTTTTCTGCTCAGATTCATTCTACGCACAAAATACATACATACCAGGGACCTCAAAATGTTGCTACAAATATAGCCAGCTCCAAATACTCACTTCCCAGTTGCAGAGCTTGCAAAATCTATTACTGACTCCGAGACAAGTACTCCTTGAGCAAGAGACTTCCTAACGATTTAAGACATTGACGCTTTAAAATAGGATAAGCTATATGATATGATTTTTCAAACGAGCCCAAAATACCTGATTTGTGGAGGTGGCGTTTGCGAAGGAGCGGGATTATACAAACTTCGCTTCGAACTCGCCGCCATTTTGATGGAAGGGCGAACTAGGTTTGTACCCAGGCCACTCAATCCGCACGGTCCAAGCTCGACCGGGGAACTGAAATGAGCTGGTCACGGCTCTGCGAAAAATTAAATCGCCCAGGCGAACATATTTGTTTGTTGTTGTTGTTTTGTTGTGTTTTTTCTTTTTGTAGTAGTAAATGGAGACCCAGGGTGTACTTATACATTTTGTATTTCAAACAAAGACTCAGTCATTCCAAGATTGGTCTACTTGAGGAGCATTCAAGAGTCAAGCAGGCAGCCCCCTCCCACGAGGGAGGTGGGGGGGGGGGGGCTATTTGTCCTTGTAGTTACTCCCCTCCTTTTTAAGAAAGCTCTTGGCTTCTCTCATCTCTATGCAAAACGGTTGGGCACCTAACGACTGAATGTTTCCAAATACTCCAAAAGTGTCTCAAATGGTTTTCTCTGTGCTTTAGAAGCCTGTGGTTAATTTGGAGTTGCCCTAAAAATTAATTATCTGTTCGGTTGTCTTCGGGGAACTTTGGCCGTCACGAAAGCCTGGGTGCTTTTTCATCTCATCCGAAAGTGTTAGCTACCCTCATGGGACTGGTCGAAAGTTTGAGGACATGAAGTAGCCTTGTTTTCACTATAAAATTATAGGGGACGTTTTGTCTCCATACCGAAATATTTAGGAGACCTTTTTTAACAACAATCGCAATATCTTGGTATTAACACAACCTCCGAAAATCATAGTTAAGCTATTAGAAAACCTCCGAATATTTTAGACGAATGAAACAGTTATCCAGAAATTTTTAGCTTTTCTCAAGCTTTAGAAATTTCTAAGCAATATTAATATATATTTGCTCCTTCGAACAGTTATTTTACAGAATAAAGTCTCTGGGCGCCCCTGAAGAGTAGTACCTTACTATACCTTCCTGAATGGTGGAGCGAGCTTAAACTGGGAGAGCTTCGTTCAGTGTGTCGCCATGCAGTTAATCGCTGGTATTTTCACGTGCTATAGCGTATCTTGCTCGCTCCATGATGTCTCATAAGGAAAAGGTGTACTCGCATGCAGTCTACCCGATTGTCAAAGCTGAATGGCTTTTGCCAACAACTCATGATTATAACTACTTTTTAGTTTCTCAAAGCAGGAATTTTGGATTATGTGTAATTGGCCGTGTTTATAGAAGATTAATACGTCTTGAACGACGCACTACGAGAGGTAATTCGTCTGAATACATAATGTATCTTGTGTCCGTCTTCATACTTGAGACGCATAACTAGACGATTGAAATGTTTGCCCGATTTCGTCCAGACGGATAGCGCGCCTTTTTATTAAATAAAGACGGTCATTTGCAACTAGCCAAGGGACAGGGGCACCCAACGACAATTTTCGGAAAAATATCTGTTCGGAAGACGATTTGAGATCTAGAATTTTCGGAACATTTGTTGTAAAATTTCTTGCTTGCCTGCCTCTCCTAGCATTTTCGGACATCTAAAAAATGGTATAATTGCCTATTTTTAACGGAATTTTACCCTAAAAAGGTCAACTAGAATTTTCGGGAGCCTTTTTTCTGGCTAAAATTTTCGAAAAGGTAAGTTTTGATCCCTACAATTTTCGGATCACTTGACTTTCAGCTAGGAAATCCGAACAGATGAAAAATTTTTAGGGGATAAAAATATGCCTATATCTACCGTTTAAATACTAAAATAGTTTAACAATTCTATGTTTAAGTGGTTTTGAACTATATTCTCGTTGGGTGCCCCTGAAGGGATTAGCCATGTTATCATTCCTTCATAACTCTCTGTTCTATATTCATACTCCTTGCAGCCGAGCCCTTCGCAGATCATACAATTACAATTAGAATTACTTCTGGCTTCTAGATATATGGAACAACACGAAGAGAGTACTAATCGCTTCCTGGTTAAAAATAAGCGAGGGGAGTCCGCCTCCGCGTCGAGATCACTTGATATACCTCAAAGGCTGGCAAAAAACCCTTTCGTTGTTTTGTTTTTTTTAACATTAGATGCGTCTTCAGTACCATAAGGACATCAACGCCGTGACCTCACATAATATGGGTAAAAGAGGACGATGTACCCAGTGTTCTTTTCTTTTCGATTTCAGTTTCTGTTTGTTTTCTCTCTCTCTCTTTCTTTTCTTTTTGCCATTGCTGGTGAGAAGGCCAAATAGCGCTAGCAACATACAAGGCAAAAGATAAATTATTCAACATTTCTCTCAGTAATTCCACAGCTTTTATTAAAAAAACAGCAAATTCATATTTGATGACATTGCAATTTTCTTACTACTTCTTACGTCCAAATTCCTGTCTTTCACAGTAACGTGGAGAGTTTTCAAATACCCTGTTCACGTAGTAAACTCCAACTAGCTTTCTCCGTAGGTAACCCAACTAAAACGGCTTTACTTCCGTTGCGTAGAACGAGACCAGGAACGTGTTACTGAGTAGCTGCAAGGCTCCTGATAGCCGCCGAAATTGTGGGGGCCCACCGCGCGAGATCAATGTGCCTCAGGAATTCTAGTTCTTGAAAGAAGATCCTCGGAATATGAGAGGCACCAAGAAGAGCACAACCTCCATCTTTACACCAGTACTCAAAGTACGCTATTTAGGTAAAGGTGTGTCTCCAAGCATAGTGAAGGCTTGGCTGTGAAGATGTCACCTGCTGACAACAGCAAAACTGTGTCCGCCACCACATCCAATCACACGCACCCGAGAACCTTGAAGCCTGGCCACCACGTCTGGTAGGTGGATATTAATTTCATCCCCACTGCCACAGATTCCGTGTTCATTCCAACCCCAAGTCATAACAGAACCACAACCTAGGATAAAAAGAGTAAGCTACATATCAACTTCCGTCCGAAAGACGGAAGCAACAACAAGCCAAGCTTGTTAGCTCAAATGGTAGAGAACTGCACCGGTATCGCAAAGGTCAAGGGTCCGAAGCCCGTACAAGCCTGAATTTTTTTTTTTTTCAGGCTTTCTTTTCGCAACTGCAAAAGTTGCGTCTACAACTGCGATGATCTTCTTTCATACAACTCTTAACCCCGCAGTTCTCGTATATGATTTTCATATATTCACAACTTCAGAGTAACTGTTGTTGTTGTATTGCTTTATCAAAATTCAAACAGCGGAAACTGCCACCAAATTGAGTGAAACAAAAATAACTGCTCAAAAAGTTAGAGTGAGGTATAAATGACACAACGAATACAAATGGAGCCACAGATGGACAAACTCGAAGAAGATTGAAACGGATTGCAGTTGTGGTTTTTGAAACCTTGTTAGCCTAACAGTTTTCAAGTTCATTTTTGTAGTTTGTAACGTTTGATATAATGCTTGGGAAACATATTTGCTGGACACAAAGCTGTGATCTTGTCATTTACAAGTAATTTCTCAAGTTTCATAACGAGTAAAGACGCGTAAATGGCATTAGAAACAAAATGAACAGGGCAGCCATGACACAGCCAATTAAATGTTAACCGAAGAGAGAAAATAACAAACCCAACAAAACCATGTTGTGTTCCGCACCACACACAACCTAAAGAAAGAAAAACTAAACGTTAGATAAAACAAAGGAGACTGAAAAACAAGTATTGTATGCTACAATAATGAAATGAAACAATGTGTTTGTTTTTTACTCTCTGCAAATGGCACATGTAAAATAACAGAGTCTTGCTTAACAATCTTCAGAGTTGCAAAATTACCAAAACAAACATTTTTCGCGGCTCCTTTCTCCACTTTCGTAGCACAACTTGTGAGCAAGTCTACCGACTGAGGAGTGGTGTAGGATCTCTTGCAGGCCTGTATCGGCCCGGATTAGGTTACTAGGTTGACATTACAGTATAAACTGCATACTGTTCCTAACCAAGACCTAAGGAAGGTTCGTCTTGTAAACGAAATATCAGCCAAGACCCCAGACACGACCAGATCGAGCGATCTTAATTCGCGTCCTGGCGAGACACGTTAGTCTCACTGTGCCAGTTAGGTGTATAAAATAATGGCCCTTCATGTTATGGAACCAAAGATAGGCTCTGGCGAGATGGTTAACCTTCAGGATCTGAAAACAGTTGTGCAGTAGCAAACTTCAAAAATATGACCAAAGAAACTTCTTTTTTCTGCGGAATTAACTTGTCAGTGTTGTAGTAGACTTAGGTTAAAGGCGGAGAATTTGTTTCAATGAACTGAATCATGATTCTACCTGATTAGCACCACTGACTTGTACAACTTGCGTTGGTTCACTACAGAATCCCTGCCGTACCACATCATCACCTAAACCTAACTGGCCATAGTCTGCACGACCCCATGAAAAGATCTGACCATCCTCTGCAAATACAAAATAACATAACAGCACAAAATTAATTCATCATTAGGTTTCCAAGAAATTTCTAACTGATCTTCTGAAGATGGAATTTGTTGTATGCATCAATAGGATAGTTATAAGTCAATCTTCATTAATTCCACTGATCTGTCTAACAACCAATGATGCAAACAAACAAGCAGGCAGGTGATTCAATATAAAGAAGGTTGATTTTCATTTAAAAAGTTCTACATTAATTATGTAATTAATATGTAAATATGATGAGTGAACAAAGAAACTGGATGCTAGTTATCTTCTTGCACTAACTCCTGAAAATTGTCACCACAATTTTTTCACATAATTATACTATGTATGTTTTTTGGATCAATTTTACCTAAATTCCACTTACTTCCTTTTTTTGGTGGTGTGGGGAGGGGGCGAGGCGGGTATGTAAAGATTTACAATGAGTTTGCAAAACAAAGCAAAATTAAAATTGAAAACAACATATATATGTAAACTGAGTTATCAAAATTCACATCCAAATGTGAGGTCATTTTCATACAACAGGAGCATTCTGTGCAATTAAGGTTTTTTCTTAGTAAAATTGCATGGCAGATAATGGGCCCAATGCAAAATGGCTGCTGGATTAATATTCTTAGGTTTAAATCAAAATTAGCCTGACTAGCCTCATTTGTCAGTACAAAATTCAAGAATACATTATCTCAAGCAAGGCTATTCAGGCTAATTTTAAATTAAACAAAATAATAGTCATCTAACAACCATTCTTTACAGTCACTGGAAATGTGTTTAAGGCATGTATTTATAGAACTGTTGAACTGCTTTAATTTCTTTTACACTGCAATAATTCAACAATTAATTTAGTTCTAGTCCATTGTTTGTTAGTGAATGTCTACTGCAAATGATCTTTTTTGTAGTATTGTAAAATGTGATTATCAATTTAAAATATATAAAGTACTGATGATTAAACCTGTGATGGCCAAAAGGTGACTCCACCCAGATTTCAGCTGAGCGATATGTTTGTCAGAAATCGCTCCTCTTATCAGCTGTGGATTGGCAAAACTCTGAACACAGTGTTCAGGAGGCCTGCCACATTGTCCATGTTGATTTGAACCCCAGCAGAAGACCTGTCCTGAGGCTGTTAATGCTGCGGAATGATGAGATCCAGCAACTACCTGTACAAACTTCTGAGAGCAATCTGGAATACTGACTGTTTATGATAGAAAAACCTATATTAGAAACGTTTGCTCTGTCCTAAACTTGGAAGTCACCTGCATCAAGGTCCTATGAAACCTTTCATGTCTAATAGTGGACAAAGAGAAACTCCCAAAAATTCAAATTTCTTTTCGCAAAATCCCTAGGAATAACAATGATAGCAGGGGAATTTATTGAATTTGAAGGGTAACACTATAATAATTTGTGGTGACAATTGTTGTGAGTAAAATCTGTTCTCAGGTTTAACCAGAATGTCCTTTGTCTCCTGTGAATAATTAGGACTACGAAACAAGGGGAATTCTGACTTAAACTAGGCTGAAAACTCAGTGGTTAAACTTGACAAAAGATTAATTTTTACCAACAACAATACTGTCAATATACCTTATTATAGGAAATTAACGCTCCATAAAATTAACGTGAATTGTTAAAATTCGCGTTAATTTAAGTTGCGTTAATTAAGTGCAGCATTAATTTCAGCTCTCTTAATGTAATACATAGTTCTAGCTTTTGAAACCATGGGCCTTAATTTACTTGTATCATGAGGTAAATTCTGCTAACAGTAATTTAAACCTTGCAAAGGAGTCACACTGTTTCTGCTTGTTTTCCCAAAGCCAAGCTGCCCTTTCTTGTTGGCTCCCCAACACCACACAGATCCATCAGCTTTGAAAAACAAATAAAAGGTCCAAAAAGGTTTGTTTCATCCTTAATATGAAGTATTTCATTATACCATAGTGGTATAAGCTGATCATTGATAATAATAAATTCATTGATCACCAATCAACATCTTCAATAGAAACAATAACTGATTATAGAAAATGTTTAACATGAACATGTACTTCAACATGTACTTCGACTTGCACAAAGTTGAGAAATATATAAAATTTCTTATAAAGGAATTTTTCCAATTTATTACAATCAATTATCAATTGGGTGGGTCAATGCCAATATTTTCAATGATTGATTGTGAAACCTTAGCAGATTCCCAACAATTTTGTAAACTGGCCATAAGCAATGACAGCAATACTTCTATTCACAATTTTAATCTTCAAAGCATTTAGCTATTCATTATGAAACAGGAGGACAGCACTTTCATATAAAAATATCATTAAAAAAATATCATTAAATTTTAAAACAAAGAACTAAAAATTAAAATATGTTAACCACCATGTATGGAGACCAGTGCCAGATAGACCAGCATGGGGCTATTGTATTTTGCTATAAGGCTAGTGAATTCTGTTCTTAATTAATCCAACAGACAAGCATTAAAGTTTTGGGGGGAATTCAAAGTACAGAAGAGCTGTAATCAATTCTTATCATCAAAATTTTTTTTAGGCTACTTAAAATGACTCTAGGCCAAAAGCACAAGCTAGCTAGCACTTGCCTGAATGGCAAGCTTTAAAACTGACTTTCTTTGCACCCTGTTGACAAGTACACAGTAACTCAAATAGTTATCCTGAACTCTCGACAAAGGTATTGAGGACTTTAACATCTATCTTACCTAAAGCAACTATGGAGTGTCTAAGTCCTGCTGCAACACTGACAACTTGTTGATACTCAGTAAATTCCTACTGATGGGAAACAAAATAATGAACAAATATTTCAACTACCACTGATAATATAAAAATTATTACAATGAAACCAGTCCTGTATGATAAAAGCAGTCACTTAAGCCCTGGAGAATGGCCAACTTATTTCTTAAGATAGCTTGGTCCAGGGGCACCCAACGACAATTTTCGGAAGAATATCTGTTCGGAAGACGATTTGAGCTCTAGAATTTTTGAAACATTTGTTGTAAAATTTCTTGCTTGCCTGCCTCTCCTAGGATTTTCGAACATCTGAAAAATGGTATAATTGCCTATTTTTAATGGATTTTTACCCTAAAAAGGTCACCTAGAATTTTCGGGAGCCTTTTTTCTGGCTAAAATTTTCGAAAAGGTAAGTTTTGATCCCTATAATTTTCGGATCACTAGACTTTCAGCTAGGAAATCCGAACAGATGAAAAAGTTTTAGGGGATAAAAATATGCCTATATCTACCATTTAAATACTAAAATAAGTTTAACAATGCTATGTTTAAGTGGTTTTGAACTATATTCTCGTTGGGTGCCCCTGTTGGTCTTGTTTGGATGCTATCATGTTGTAACTTGAACCTTAACAAATAAGACAGTTATAACTCCTTAAATGCTTTTGAATTAGTGCAGTGAAGGAATCATTGATTTAGGAAAGAAGACCCATCAGAGACCTTTCCTTATGATAAGTAAGAATTTTATTAGAATTTATATGTGAGAAGATTTTTGCAAGCATGCATGCCTGCAACTCTATCAAAGTAAATGGTGGACATGTATTAATGTTAAGAGCTGTTCTATTATTAGCAAGAAAGGTTTCAGAATCCTAGGTGGCTTCAGTTGTCAGTTGCATTTTGCTAGTTGCTGTGAGTGCGAGATGACCAAAACATGTTCAGATACATGTACATACACAGCGAAAAGGCTGCTTACTTGACGTGAGGACATGCAATAACCATTAAGCTTGACAGCTAAATAGAGGTCAGTTTATACTAATAAATGGAGACAATTTCCAGGACTTAGGTTCAGATTTCTGTTCAACTCAGGTTAGACTGTAATAGTTAGCAGTTGCAATCTGATAGTTAACGTTCTCAGAAAGTATGTTTCTCCCATTTATTAAGGCTGGGGAATGTCGGGTCTATATGTACACATTTCAAAAATAACAACATACCTTGCATAAAGTAGGTCTTGTAAGGTATCCACCAAGTTTTCCTGTGCCTAACTGACCAAATGCATTAGAGCCCCAGACATAAAGACCATGATCTGAAAGTCAAGTGATAATAAAATACGATGTTTCAGTTTAAAGATTTTATTCCTAAGACAAAAATTAAAGGATAATTTAAAACAAAGTCTAAAAATAGTTTTGTAAAACACTGAAAAGCTTAAGGTTTCATTAAAGTGTAAGTGTAATAAAAAATTCAAAAACTGTTTTATGTCTCCATATTAAAACAACTGAAGGACACAAGGTTATTCCAACTATCAACCATTGGCATACAGTAAAACCTACCATAGGTGAAATACCCAAACTGGCAAGATTTGGTGGTGACTCATGGCAGGTGGTTGCAAAAAGCTGAAGTACCAAACAATTTGAGGGGGCACTTAGGTATTTTTTGGGTGGGTATGTGCCGCCCGGGACTCCAAATTGGCACCCCGTTCTAAAAAAAAAATTCCCCTAAAATTGATACCCCATTCTAGAATTCGCCCTAAAACTGATACCCCGTTCTAAAAATGGGCCAATTTTTTATACTCCGTTCTAAGGTGCAAAGAGTACAACAGTTTGCTTGTTAACACATTGAACCATATTTTTAAACGCAGTCTGACCTTGAATAATTTCAAATGACTGCTTACAAAACTGGAGCTTTCGTGCATTCAAAATATTATACCCCGTTCGAGAAAACGCCTCTGAAATGGATACCCCATTCTAAATCAGGAGCTTCAAAATCACGACCCCGTTGGGCGGCACATACCCATATAGGTAATGTATGGGAGTACCCCCCCCCCCCTGGGGGGGAGCAGGAGGATTACTCATATTAATTTTGTTTTCTTCTCTGAAGGACAGTGTGTCAACAATTCTATGGCTGCAGGTTGAATTTTAAAAAATTTTATGCTTAGTTTAACCACAGGTAGCCCAAGCTCACTATGAGAGCCGTGAACAACATTATCCTACTTAGCTAATTACTTATTCATACAGCAAGAAAATTATAAGACGTTGTATGGAGAAATATTCTTTGCTCACTAAATTAGCAAAATGTACATTGAATATCGCTTTGAAGCTTACCTTTAGCATCTTCTTGTTTTTCTTTGTATTCTGACTGCATTTCAGACCTCCTAGGCACTGTTTAAGGCCTTTTTTGGAGCGACAGTTTTTCACCCAGATGACAGTAGAGAGAAGAGAAGAGAAGGTTGGCAAACCTCTCTTGACCGGCTCCGCTCTCGGGACGCGATAAATTCCGTGACATTTGCGACATGGAGACAAGTCCGCCAGAAACAGATGTCCTGATAAATAACGCACATTTTCCATCTTTCACATCACCAAAATTCCCATTTCGAAGGTCCTAAATCGCCAACGAAGTGGGCAATACATGGCTGAGGTGAGGCGAGTCGAGAGCAGACCCGCAACGGACTCCAACCGTCACGTCGACAATTCAAACCGACGCTGGCTGGCAGGGTCAAATTGTTCAACCGTCAAAGGACAATTGGAGCATTTAGCCTACTGGGCACAGTAACTGATTTTTCACTTCTCACATTGCACTCCGCGGTCGCGGAAGTCAAGCATCGCGTGTGATAGTGACATGTAATAACAAAACATGTCGCGTTGTTAATGTTTTGATCTCTACTCTATGTATGATTTAGAAAAAAATAATACCTTGGATTCGCCTTGATTTATCTTCAATTCTTAAAGTTGACTGCATAATATTTTTCTTGTTAGGGTCTGTCGTAATTTTGAAATTCACGAGGGCAGCTTCACTTCTACACTTCAGCTTCACTTCACTTCTTTTCCTGTTCCGGCTTGTCCACTAACTAATAGATTATGACCCAATGAGGCGCAGTTCAACACAGCCCTTTGTTCATTTGTTAGACTGAAATGAAAGTTGTTTTGCAAAGTGAAATACTTTGTAAGTGCATGTTCAACGAGAAACAACGCAATCTTTTGATTACAAAACTTCATCCTACCTTTCTGCCATTTAATAGTAGCGTCAAGAAATCCAATCAATACAAAAATAGCTACTACATTTGGAATTCATATTTCAGAAATAGTTTGCTTGGGCTGCAAGCAGCTGATGTATAATTTGATCTTGAAATTGGTGTTGCTAATGTGGCAGAATTACCAAGAGAAAATTCAAAGAAATATTTATTTACATATTTCCTTTCCGTAAAAACACTCACAATAGATAAGAGCACCTGCCGGAAGATCCTGTCCGCAAACTTGCTACTTACTGCCACTTGTTGAAAAAGGGAGGAAAAATAGCTAACAACTGTTTACAGCCGTAGTAATTCTTATTGCAAACGCTTTTTAAAAAGAAGAGTAGAGATCAAAACATTAACAACGCGACATGTTTTGATATTACATGTCACTATCACACGCGATGCTTGACTTCCGCGACCGCGGAGTGCAATGTGAGAAGTGAAAAATCAGTTACTGTGCCCAGTAGGCTAAATGCTCCAATTGTCCTTTGACGGTTGAACAATTTGACCCTGCCAGCCAGCGTCGGTTTGAATTGTCGACGTGACGGTTGGAGTCCGTTGCGGGTCTGCTCTCGACTCGCCTCACCTCAGCCATGTATTGCCCACTTCGTTGGCGATTTAGGACCTTCGAAATGGGAATTTTGGTGATGTGAAAGATGGAAAATGTGCGTTATTTATCAGGACATCTGTTTCTGGCGGACTTGTCTCCATGTCGCAAATGTCACGGAATTTATCGCGTCCCGAGAGCGGAGCCGGTCAAGAGAGGTTTGCCAACCTTCTCTTTTCTTCTCTCTACTGTCATCTGGGTGAAAAACTGTCGCTCCAAAAAAGGCCTTAAACAGTGCCTAGGAGGTCTGAAATGCAGTCAGAATACAAAGAAAAACAAGAAGATGCTAAAGGTAAGCTTCAAAGCGATATTCAATGTACATTTTGCTAATTTAGTGAGCAAAGAATATTTCTCCATACAACGTCTTATAATTTTCTTGCTGTATGAATAATTAATCAGCTAAGTAGGATAATGTTGTTCACGGCTCTCATAGTGAGCTTGGGCTACCTGTGGTTTAACTGGACCTATGACAGCCAAACACGAAGTTTGGCTGTATTTCCAAAGATTTACCTGTGATGGCTAAGGTGTGGTTCCATCCACAAGATACTTGAGTGACAGGAGGAAGCCCCTGAACATGACACAGCACAGCCCTGTCTTCTGTATCACCCAAACCCAACTGACCTTTATTGTTCCAACCACACATGAACAAACCTTGACTTACTATATTGAAAATGCAATTATCATAATCTATGAGAAAGATGTTTTTCAGTCAGTGACATAGGCAGCTCTGAGGAAAAAAATTGAGTACACAAAAGGAGTTGAACCTATGACCTACTGGTTACTATTATGTACTATCACTCAAGAATAATGCACATTAGTAAAATCCAACTAGTGGTCTATTATCAACGCTGCATGCTGATTGGATGAGCTACTACTAGACTATATGTTATAGCCCAGTAGTAGCGAAAAGCGCGGGCTTTTTGGCGGCAAAAAAGGATTAAAGTCTAGCTTTAACTACCTAAAATATTTTTATTCTCCATATTTTCGACCAACTGTTGGATTTTACTAAAACAATTATTCCTCTCGCCCTCATGGCCTCTGAGTCAATAGCCCATTCGGCCTTCGGCCTCATGGGCTATTGACTCAGAGCCCATTTGGGCTTGAGGAATAATTGTTAAATATTAATAAATAGTATTGTTATATTCCTAGAATTTCACTCAACTAAACAGGGCCTGTCATTGGTTGATTCTTGGTCACGTGGCCTTGACTAAAATCAAATGTATCCCGATCGTGATACATTAAACAATGTATCCCGCTCGGGATACATTGCAGCACGTGATCAAAGCATGGTAGAAAGTGGCGTGACAGAAGGCGGGAAAAACACCGCCAGGTCCTGCCGGTTTTCTTTTTCGTGAATGAACACAACAACACAATCACGAAGCCTCAAGCTAAAAAGCAACGATTTTTAAAGTTATCCCAGAAGTTCCCAGAAGAAAAACAGCAGCTAGTGGAGGAAAAAGATGCAGATGATATAAGGAAAGTACTTTTGTTTGTAAATCATTCATTCAGTGCTTTTGAGAATTAAATTTGTGTTGTTATAAGTACCGAGTCGACTGTTTTGGTTCGTTTTCGCTTTATAACAAAACACTTAATGTCAGATCCCTCGGGAAACCAGTTAGTTTTGTTTTCCCTCGAGTCCTGATGTTTCCCTCGACTTCGTCTCGGGAAACATCAGGACTCTCGGGAAAACGAAACTAACTGTTTCCCTTGGGATCTGACATTAAGTGTATAATATTGCAAACCAAGTTAACCATGGACTCATGTAATAGGTAGGTAGAATATGATCATCTAGGTGAGCGTAGTCCTGAATAGGCCTGTTGTTGACAGTAGTGATTGACACTTCAACAACCCACACGATAGCCATCTTCAGAGTCAAAGTGAGTTGTATCAGTCATGTCAGTTGAGGGTGTCAAACTCTGGTTATTTGCCTGATTTTCATTTTCTCCCATAAAAATACTTTGCATGAGCATTTGTTGTTAATTTCTCTTGAGACAACTGTAATACCCGAGAGAAATTGAAAAAAAGGTCATGCAAAAATTAGGGGCAAAACAAGGTGTGCCAATTCAGGAAATAAGAGTAGTCCTGCATTCAATACTGCTGTTCTTTCAAATAGCTTAACAATTCAGTACCACTTTAGAAGTGTATTGCTCAAGACAAAATCTGTGTGTCTCTGAAATGGTATATAAACTTAATATAGAAACCTGTTATGACTGCTGTATGGCCTCCACCGCCTTGAATTAAGGCTACTTCTATAGGTTTACATGTATTTTCTGGAAAATCGTCGAAACTTTCAGGAATCAAAACATCATGTGTGTGTCCTAAACACAGTTGTCCGTGACTATTTGCTCCCTGAGGAAGGACAAAAAGGATACAAATGATTTACCTATAGCTAGGTATCATAACTCAACAAGGTGTTTTTAAATACGGCATTTACAAACCCACGAAAACAGCTGTGTTTCTTCATTATTTCGTGGAGTGCCGGCAGTCATCTTCTACCTTGTGGAGGGAGCCCACCGGGCTCTTCTTCGCTGAGAAGGGAGGATCGCTGGCGCAAACAGGCATCCTACATCATGTAAAACGCAACGAAGTTTCCCCAGTAATCCCACGTCTCTCTCAGCCCCCGGGGGTGCTCCTTATAATGGCCTATACTATACGGGGAGGCTTCACCCGAAAGGGGTGCCTTTTGGCGGCCAAAACTACTTTTTGCTTATGTATTGTTAAACGTTTGACAGTTACGCTCAAATGTGCTGTAAACGTTACCACATCATCTTTTCAACATTTTCCTTGAAGGTTAAGTGCAAAACTTGCGTTCAGAAAGAGGTATTAAATTCATAATTTTAAAAATCAAAAGTTTTGGTCACATGACCAGCTACGAACTTACTCATATTTTGAAAATGGTGCGGGTTGGAAACACCAAATCACTATTATTTTGTTTAAGATTTTAGTTACCCACTAATGGTTTTTCGAAGGCAAAATAGTTTTCATTTTCATAAAAACGATGTCACGTGACCTCTTAGTGTAAATGGCCTATCATAGACAAAAGTCCTTGGGACAGTAATGCAGTATTCATATTTTTCTGTCATTTCTGGGTTCCTATACAAAACGGAAGATCCTTTTCGAGACTGTTCTTGCAGTTCTCCCGAAATTTCCCTTCTAGTGTTGAAAATATTTCAACACTCGAAGAGAAATTTCGTATCTCCGCGCGGCCATGTAATATCCTCTATTGTAACCTGCGATCAGGCGATTTTTTTTTTTTTGGCGGGGGAAAAAAACAATATTTCCCCCACCAAAAAGAAAAAATCGCCTGATCGCAGGTTACCTCTATTGAAGCGTGCTTGTTTTGGTTCGTGGCTTACGGAACGGGGAATATTGCTTTTGAGGCGCGCTTGTTTTGCTTTATGGCTTATAGAACGAGGAATATTACATTTCAAGAGCGCTAACTGACTCGAAAATAGGGGGCTATAAGGTAACCGGGGGGAAATCACTTGGAGGCGAATTGCCCGGTTACCATGCACACACCGTACGAACACCATGGGAGAAGACTGATCCCAACAGCCCGGGTAAAGAAGTGGTCAAAACATTGTAAAAAGAATATAGGTGAGAATTCTTTAGATTATTTTCAAGTTTCTAGAAAGGAAGCGGCTCTACATATCCGAAACTGGAGTGAATTGAACTGGGCCATATCCAAAAATCCGCCTTTTAACATTCTTCAAGTGCGCATAAACCTATTTTGATATTCTAATACATAAGCTTCAGTGAACAGGTTTTATTTTCCAGAAAGATTTCAACACGTTCCCATCAATGTTTTACGCTTAAAGAAACGATAGGAAAATGTTGATAGAAAAATGTGGGGAAGGGACGAACTTACAGAGGCTGCGTCAGTGATATGACTTGGTAGGTGAAATAAACTTAGGCTGTTCCAGGCTCTCAGACAGTCGGCAAGTTTCCTCCCGGAGTGTTCGTGTTTGCGCTTTCTCAATTCAGCGGACCCGACAATCTCGGAGCCTGGAACAGGCTAAATTAAACTAGTCCCAAGCTTAAGAAAACAATCCAGTCTAATGCATCTCTTTGCCGCAGATTGAAAAATCATTAGTAGGGAGTTTACGCAAAGACGACGGCGACGGCAACGAGAGCGGCAAAAAAGCGATAGGTTTAGACAAGCAAAACAACTACTTTGCACGTGCATCACGCTTTTTTGTACATTTCTCTGCCGTTGTTGCACGACTACAACGTGAAACTGCCTAATTTCACGTTTTGGCGCGGACGGGAACAAATTTCAACAACTTTCTTTTTCTTTTCCTGAACTTTGATGCAGTCCTTTAGAATTCAACTCCCAAAAAAATTTGCCAACATTTGACGAATTAAACGAGATGGAATACGCGCGGTTAAGTTTGAGGCAGCGCAAATTCACTTTTCAAGTAACGCTTTCGTAGCTGTCAGCGTCGTCGTTCCGTTAACTACCTAGTAGCGCACCTACGACGCCTAGAGTTCCAATTTCTCATCCAACTTCCAGAATTTCGCAGCCACAAGGCGGTACTTTTAAATACATGTGCCGCGTTGTCGCTTTGTTTTAAGTAAAGCAGTCTTACAGTGACAACACCGACTGCTACAATGTATGTTTACATAGGTCAGTAAATATGTACCTTTACACGCAGTTTTGAAAAGTTTATTGAACTCTAGATACAACTACGAAACTGCATCCCGGAGCAGTTTTCTTCTTTTTTATGGAACAGAGTGTACACTATCATACACTTCACATCTTTTTTCTTCTTCTTTTTTTTTATGGAACAGAGTGTACACTATCATACATTTCACAATTAAGGTAAAATTGACACCCCAATCAACCTCCAGCCCTGAGACGCTTCTATGCCCTCGAAAATTAATTACGTCCTTGTGATTTCGGAAAGTGTAATCATGCAGGAGACAGAAAACACACTTGAATTCAAACTGGTACAGCACATACACGTGAAGAGGAAAAACAAGACGCAACTTAAAACAAGAAAAAAACTGTTCCTTTTTTACGAGCATATCAGCTGCGTCTTATTTAGGCTGTGCCTTATTCAAGTCACGAAGACATTTCGGGGACATCTGTATAAGAAGCTCGTGTCTTATTCCAAATGCGTCAAATTCCACCTGGATAAATGGCCCTATTATAGAGAGCCTTGATAGGTTACGGTAAGGCCTAAAACGGCCAAATTGCGCTTGAACATGAACAATAAAAAAAATTTTTAACCCCAATTTGTCACTTGGAAAGTGTCAAGATCACATGCCACGATGTCCTGACTTATGGCGTGGATATTGTTATCCTGAAATAGTCCCGAGAACCAGTGAGTCCTCTAAAAGTTCATTAAAATTACTTCACTGACAATTAATAATAATTTAACTTGTTCAGTATAAATTTCAGCCCCCTCCTTCATCAGGGTTTGAGCTCTCATTACCCGACGAGTCTGTCTGAATTGCAATACTCTCTGAGGAGTTTCGGGACTCAATGCTACAATCATCACCATTTGATCCACTGTCTCCATTGTACTGGTTAGCAGTGCCCTGTCCTCCCAGGTCTTTGCGCAAGCCATTGAATAAAGGAAACCCCATAGGAGGTGCCTGATATCCGTACGGTGTCATCCCTGCATGTACATATGGCAGTGGAAAACCAAAGCTGGGACTTGGTGCGTGAGGAGACACACCATAGGCCGTAGCACCTGGCTGTACCATTGGAAATGGCATCTGTGCATTGCCATTAAACATTTGTGTGGAAGGTGTTGGTAGTGGAATATTTGGGTGCAAGACCACTGGAATAAAATGTGTACCTGCAGGATGGAGTGCATAGGTTGGCAATGTATAAGGAGGTGGCAGGAAGGGCGTGCGCAATGGAATGTTGCCTGCTTGGGGAAGCATGGATGGAAATGTGGGTACAGAGGAACCATTAGTGTCTCCTCCCCTGTTGCCATTTGTACCTTTAATGCCATTGCCATTTGTTCTGTTGCCATTTTCAGCCTCCTTTCCTGAATTACCCTGTATCTCAGACATCTCTTCATCAAGGCATATGGCTGAATCTGTCTGGTTTTCCCTGGAATTCTCTGAACTGTTTTCATTGTCACTGCTGTTGGAGGTGTTCCCATTGCTGCTACTACTCGGCAACACATCACCACTGCTACTGTGATGGCCATGTCGAGCTCTTTTGGCCTTCCCTCCACTTCCACTGCCACTCCGTTCCCCATTGCTGGAAGAAGTGGATGATGACGAAGACGTGGTGCCTTGAAAGCTTCGCTTAGATGTGGCCCGTTTCCCACCATCTCCACTGCTTTTCCCCTTGGGGGAGACTTTGGACTCTGCCATTAGCTGTATCTGGTGCCGCAGGTGAGCCATAAGCCTCTGAAAACAAGGCTGTTGCATGTCCATTGCTTCAACATTCACCAAGAAACGAAAAACCTCTTCTGTGCAGTCCTTGTACCCTCCAAAGTGAGTCACTGGTTTAACCTCAACATCTTTACTTTCACCTTCTGCTGGATCAGTTTCTGTTGTCTCACCTGAAAAATAAACCAAATACCTTGAATGAAACACAACTGTTTGCTTATATTTACTTCAAGAACGTCTGAGAATATGGGGCTTAAAAGAGAGGGTGGCTTATTCCTTTTAACAAAGATTTTGGTATCAATAATATTATTAACCATAAAGTCCTGTCATATGGAAAAGCTCAGGCAAATAACGTTGGAGGTTTAATGCAGCTGACGATCAAAAGCACATCTAAACTTCCAGCATGTGAATCAACCAGGCAGGATCAGTCGTGCCACAGTCATGATTAATATCATGAAATCATTATGATATCATTCCCCCTCAAAAGAGAAGGCTTAAATTACTAGAGAGGGAGGGCTTAAGAGAATGTAGAGTAAATCTTTTTTTTTTACATTTCTAAAAAACTGAAAATGTTCATCGTATGAGATAATCAGTGCTCAAGTTGATGTAATAAGACACAAAAGTTACTATAAGAGTTTCCAAGACAGAACAGGCCTTTCTTG